GACAATTATGAGGGATCGAATCAGGTTTCAGGAAAACGTTACAAATTCTCTACGTAACAGCATATCTCCATTATAGCTGAACTCTAACTAGATAAAAAGAACTCCATTTAAACCATTTATATAATCCTTCTATTGTCTGAAGGTAAGACAAAGCTCAATACCTGAACCCAGTTTCACAATTTTTGCAGTGTGTTAGCAAAATTGTGCATATCATCTTAGCTACCTTGTGTATCCAGGGGAATTATACAATGTTTTTTTTTTTTCAGGACAAATTGGACGTTCATGTGCAGAAAAACGTTAATAGATATCTACTGATTTTTTTTATTATCAAGGGAAACTGGTCCAAGACAATAATTTTTTTTTTTATTTAATTGTAAATTTCTTGCTGTTACTACAATATTTTTTTTTTCCAGGACAAATTGGACCTTCATGTGCGGAAAAATGTTAATAATTATCTACTGATTTTTTTTATTATCCAGGGAAACTGGTCCAAGACAACATTTTTTTTCTTAAATTTAGTTGTAAATTTCTTGCCGTTACCATGACCCACCACATCAAAAAACCCTGAAATAAATTCTCCTACTCTTAACCTTTGTAGTAATACTGCATATGCGCATATTATTTGTTATTTGTACCCATAGTAGGTCCAAGTATTTGTTTTTTATGAAACCTAAACACACCATCACTGACAATAAATAGAAAAAACTTTTTCTATCCTACCTAAAACAGACCATGATAATGATCATGAACTTTGATGCCAAATGTGACCTGGTCCTTGAAATCTGACCATGACTGTGACCTTTCACCTGGAACCTAAAACTAACCTAGATCAATCCCTGATTTAACCATTTTAGCTTTTTATTTATTATTATTATTATTATTGTTATTATTATTATGTGAAGCAGGAAGTGGGTGTGTAACGGAACCGACCCAGATTGCGCTTGAGTACTTCCGTTAGACTACCGTTCGAACACTGACAACAGACAGCACAGCAAAGACATACAAGACTAGAGGACACCAGTCTTGAAGTAATCCAAAGGTAAACTACTTTATTTGAATACAGATACAAGATATATACACTGAGGGGACAATCCCCCCTCCCTGCATAATGACGCAGGGCGGGGCAAACTACATTTAGTAACAAGAGACACACAGGTATTCAAACTTCATTCCAGCAGACAGTCCCATCAGGAGGGAGGGCTGCTGGAGACACCCCCCACTAAGCTAATACACATAAACACATACATCCCATAATAGCTTGCTCCCAAACCAGACAGACAATAGAACAATCAGAACAATCATGGGATGCAGCCACATGACTATTAGGACAGATCACCCTGTACCCCTAACAGGCACAGGGTGATTTACACATAAGAGGGATATGGGGAGCTGATACAGGGGTCTCCCCACCTCTTCAAAATGAGCTGGGTTCCATGGGCCCACCACCCAAAGTGACTCTAGTCACAGGGTGCACTCAACGGAAATTACAGCAGGAGGAATTTTCTAAGTTTTCTAACCCATTAAATGCACCTACTGCCTACTTCATATTTTACATACTTTTTTTCATGGCTTGCACCCGGGCCACTATCCCTACTAACGTGGAGTGGCTGACCTCTACACTACCTATTTTTTACACTATTATCCTCTGACTAGAAGAAAGGGTATTGTACCTTTTTCTCCAGAGGGAAAAAAACCGTACAGGGGGAATTTTGTTGAGTGTTCACTGTGATTGCCAATCACAAGCCATTACATGATTGAGAGGCGGTCCATCTGGCTTCCGATCATTAGTAGGAGAGCCAGAGCCAGCAATGACAGCTCAGTCTCCATGCTGGAAGTGCACTGTGGAGCACTCTTCCCAAACTTTGAGCTCCAGTTCCATTATATACGTGTGAGCTTGGCATAAACAGGTAAAATATAGCTGCATTCTAGTCGTTCCCCATCATCTTCTCCATTTAGGCCATGTTGTCCATACACTGCAATGATGATGGCCAACAAGTCTGAAACAGCTGTATACAGTTTGGAATAAATGAATATAAAATATAAGTTTGTAAATGTGACGTAAAGTGGCAGTTCTAGAAATACACAGTCAGCTTGGGGGACATAAAGGAACAATTTGCATGGCTCCGTCCACAGTAAGGAAGACATGCAGATTCCTTCTGAATTAGGAAGACTCTACTGTACTTAGCACTGATTTAGTGGAGGACGTTTTGGTACCTATTAGCCCAGCTCATCACAACCTGCCTGGTCAGGGGTGGACTGACAACTCATGGGGCCCCCGGGCAAAAGGGGATCATGGGGCCCCTGTGTCCTTGCCTAAACTCAAAAAAGCCTATGAAAAAGGTACCAGGGGCATCTCATGGGGCCCCCTACCGACCCCGGGCCCTCGGGCAGTGCCCGAATTTCCAAATGGTCAGTCCACCCCTGTGCCTGGTTAAACCTGTTCATGGCAAGAAAAAAAAACAACTCAAAAATGCAGTAATACCGTCATTTTAACCGATAAGAACCTCCTGCGCTACTCAAAAAATGGACTAATAACAATTATGGGGAGGAGGCTGCTGACACCCAACCATATACCAAATGGATAATGTGCAAAATATAAAGTGAATTGGTGCAGCTACCCTAACACTACACTACTCCCTCACTGTCTTATCCAAATAAATAGATGAAATAAACCAATAAATGATGTACAATAAATACATAAAATAGAATAGAATGCACATAAAAACAGTCTGAATCATCCAAAATGACTCATACAAACCTTATAAGTGGCTAATGAATGCCACCGGTGCAGTTCAATGAATACAACAAGCCATTTTTTCACAGTTCATAAAGTGAGCTGATCTGCTAAGTGATCCATTGTGGAACAAAAATTGAATAGATAATGTGTGGATAAAGAAATGCCAGTGAAAGAAAAAGTTCTGATGGGACTTCAATAATTATGAACTATAATAAACATAAAAGGCGAATCCCTAAATGTGGGATCAATACTCACACTAAACGTCATGGTGACCTGCCCTGTGTCATTAGTACAGTGTCAGTGCTTTTTTTTTTTAGCACTGATCACTGTATTGGTGTCACTGTTGATGTCAGTGACACCAAGTCAGTTCCCCCCAGTGTCAGAATGCCCGCCGCAGTCCCGCTATAAGTTGCTGATCGCCGCCATTACTAGTAAAAATAATAAAATCCCAGTATCTATACCGCCATTTGTAAATGCTATAACTTTCACGTAAACCAATTAATTTACACGTATTGGGATTTTTTTTAGCAAAGACATGGAGCAGAATACATTTTGGCCTAAACTTATGATGAAATGTAGATTATTTAAATTTTTTTACTAGATATGTTTAATAGCAGAAAGTCAAAAATATTGTTTTTTTCTCAAAATTGTCGGTCTTTTTTTTTATAGCACAAAAAAAACCACACAGGCAATCAAATACCACTGGAAGAAAGCTCAATTAGTGGGACAAAAGGACGTAAATTTAATTTGGGTGCAGCATTGCACGACCGCGCAATTGTCAGTTAAAGTAAAGCAGAGCCGTAATGCAAAAAAATGGGGGAATGGGAGTAAATCCTCAGGAGGGCATGTGGTTGTAAACCCTTATTTGGTGCAGGGGTGGACTGACCATCTGAAAACTCGGGCACTGGCCGAGGGCCTGGGGTCAGTAGAGGGCCCCATGAGATGCCCCTGGTACCTTTTTCATAGGCGTTTTTGAGTTTGAGCAAAGACACAGGGGCCCCATGATCCCCTATTGCCCAGGGGCCCCATGAGTTGTCAGTCCGCCCCTGATTGGGTATAGCCAATTGTATACCCAATGAAGTGACTGGCCTCATCAATCGATTTCAGAACAACTAGCCTGCTCATAGATGGATTGAATCTCAGCTGGTCCCTGCTTAAAGCAGAACTCCAGGCAAATACTTCTTTACATGTTGCTGTTTTCCTACTTTCATTGAATATGTCATCCATCTTCTGGTTCACTCAGTAGTGGCTCTGAAATAGCCTATTAATTTTCAAATCAAACTGTTAATTCTCTTTGGTTTCCTGTTTGTAAGACCGGTGGCTGCTATGCCTCCTATTCCCCCAGCCACTATCCCTTCTGTAGTTCTTTCTCCAGGAAACAGTGATGTCATTCAGCCCCACTTACACTGGTGGGCAGACCAAGACTCTCAGACACATTCAACATGTACAGGCCTAGTGTACCCGCCCACATTTCGTATGGTTGATGGGAGCTGTAGTTTCCTTTTACTGCGGAGAGAGAGGAGAGGATATGATGTAATCCTGGCTGTTACACCTCCTGCTTGCTGTTATCTTTTGAATTACAGAGATGAGGTCTTGAAAGTTCAATTAGACTTTTCTCCTAAATGGTAATTTTCTAAATTTTAATAACTGTTTAGTGCTTTGCGTAGAAAGATGTACTAATGGGCGATTTTTTTTTGCCTATCCCGAAGTTCTTCTTTCAGGCCTGCAGAACAAAAGGTTAGTTGTAAGGAATCTGGACAATTAGATATGCTTTATGCTTACAAACAATCCAGCATAATTAGTGTCCTACTATTACCAAGCATGAGATATGGGAGCAATCTGCTCTACCAGGATTAAATCATGAGAATGCCTTTGTTTCTGGGAAGGAATATCTCCAAAGATCTGCCATAAATCAGTTGCTGAAGAGTGGTTGGGCTATTTAAACAAATGATTTGAACTTATTTGTTTATCAAGAAAGGGGTTGAGGATTTTCTTGTAAAGTGAATTTTATTGATAGATCCACTTTAAAGTGATATTAAAGGCTTCTTTTTTTTAAATTACAAACATGTCATGCTCCGTTCCTAACCCCAGAAACTACAAAGCAACTCATTCACTCCCTTATTATATCACGACTTGACTACTGTAACTCCCTCCTCACCGGCCTACCTCAACACAGGCTATCCCCTCTTCAGTCTATCCTGAATTCTGCGGCCAGACTCATCCACCTTACTAACTGCTCTGGGTGCCTCGGGACGGTCCATAATTTTAAAGAATGACTCAGGACTGTCCATAATTTTAAAGGGTGCCTCAGGATGATCCATAATTTTAAAGGGTGCCTCGGGATGGTCCATAGTTTTAAAGGGTGCCTCAGGACGGTCATAATTTTAAAGGATGCCTCGGGACTGTCCATAATTTTAAAGGATGCCTCGGGATGATCCATAATTTTAAAGGGTGCCTCGGGATGGTCCATAGTTTTAAAGGGTGCCTCGGGACTGTCCATAATTTTAAAGGATGCCTCGGGACTGTCCATAATTTTAAAGGATGCCTCGTGACGGTCCATAATTTTAAAGGATGCCTCGGGACTGTCCATAATTTTAAAGGATGCCTCGTGACGGTCCATAATTTTAAAGGATGCCTCGGGGCTGTCCATAATTTTAAAGGTGCCTTGACTGAAAAAAAGGTTGAGAAATACTGGGTTAAGCCACATTTATAAAATTGTGTCCTCCAGCCAAGTATCTCATGGCTATGCTGTACACTGTTTTGTGTGTTCCACTTGCTGCCAGGAGTTGTTGCTCAGCTTACCAATGGGCACTTGCCTAATAAGACTGTCATGGTAATGTGAAGAATGCTCAGTAGAACATTTTGGCATGGTCAGATGTTTAAACCACGGTCTCCTGTGTAAAGTTCAGTGGGGCTGCTTTGCAGCTTCAGGACCTGGATGACTTGCAATAATTGATGGAACCATGAATTCTACGCTCTACCAGAAAATCCTGAAGGAGAATGTCTGGCCATCAGTTCATGACCTCAAGCTCAGTTGGGTTATGTAGCATACTGCATTTTGTATTTACTCGTGTTATCTTTGTGCAATATGAAAATTTGTTTGATGATCTGAATCATTTACCTGTGACAAATATGCAAAAAAAAAACCCACAAATCAGGAGGATTAGGTTCAAGGGGGTAAATACTTTTTCACATGTCATCTTATGAGCTAATGTTCATATATTACATATAAGGTATTTTGTGTTCTTGTATTTGCTCATTGTATTCTAGATATTCTTTCCACTATCTATAGATGAGCTGCAGTACCTTCTATTGTCAGTACTCCTTTGTGTTGTATATTTCGCAGCTAGGCCAGTATCTAGTGTGTCAGCTGAACCAGGAAGAACCGGCCTTTTGATGATGTCACAATCAACATGGCAGTGCGTGACCGAGAGGTGGTGGAATACAAGAGGATCTCAGCAGGACAGCACTGGATCCTCTGGGTGGGGTATCAAAAATATGCTCAACGAACCACTTGTAAGCAGGGCAAAAAAAAAGGGGGGGCAGGCAAAGATCTGCTTCAATGGAGGCCAAACCCAACTGCCAGATTACATAATCACCAAAAATATGGCATAAAAGAAATCCAGCATATTTGGAGCATACATTCATACACCATTGTGCATGAGGCCTAAAATACATCATAGAAAATGTCTTTCATTAAATGCAACCACCACATCTAAGGACTGGTAATCTCCAATATATTACATGTTTATTCTTGGGTTTGGAGCAGGGGTGGACTGACAACTCATGGGGCCCCCGGGCAATAGGAAATCATGGGGCCCCTGTGTCCTCGCTCACACACTCAAACCACACCGGAAAAAGTCTATGAAAGGTAGCAGGGGCATCTCATGGGGCCCCCTATGGACCCCAGGCTCTCAGGCAATGCCTGAGTGCCTAAATGGTCAGTCCGCCCCTGGTTTGGAGACATTTTAAGGTCAAACTGCAGCAAAATGTTTATATTTTGGATAGAGAATATTTGTCAATTTTTACTGATATCTCCGTGTGGAAGGTTTCTCCTCACTCTTACTTGACGGGTGCCAGACAGAATTCAAACCCCCATCAATTTCAGGAATTTATTATTGTCTGTGTCCCCATGAGGAAAATTTGTCCTCACTTCACTTCCTCTATGGGGGACGAAGACGGCATTTAAGTTCTGAACAAAAAAATCTTACTGGGCTTCTTGTTGGTCTTGGTCTATGGCAGGGGTGTCAAACTGCCCTCCAGCTGTTGCGAAACTACAAGTCCCATCATGCCTCTGCCTTTGGGAGTCATGCTTGTAACGGTTAATCTTGCAATGCATCATGGGACCTGTAGTTTGGCAACAGCTGGAGGGCCCCCAGTTTGACACCCGTGGTCTATGGCTTCCTCAGATGGCTTGCTGTTTCCTAAACAAATCAAACATTAAACCTTTTGCTCAAGTTGCGCTTTAATTTGTCTGTTAAAGAAGGCCAACTGTAAGGGACAAAGTTCAATTCTCTATTTACTAATACTATCTTTGAATAGAGTGAGTATATCCAAAGCCAAAACATTTGTTTCGTTTACCCGCTTGCCAGCCGCCCTGTTTCAGAAATACTGCTACAGAGCGGCAGGGCTGCGCAAAATCACACATATATATATATATATATATATATACATATATATATATATATATATATTTTTGCATTTCCAGGATGGGGCCTTCAGCTGTCAAGCGATGGGTCCCAGTCTGTGATTCCTAGCCGGCACCGGCGATCGCCAAGTATCACTGATGGAGGATAGGTCTGTATGCAAACAACACAGATCTCTCCCCTGTCACCTCCAGCACACTGCTTTACAAAGCAATTTGCTTACACAGTACAACACACACATACACAATAGTAAAACAGCACACAGTTAACCCTTTGATCGCCCAGATGTTAACCCCTTCCTGCACGGTGTCATTAGTATAGTGTCAGTGCTTTTTATTAGCACTGATTACTGTATTGGTGTCACTGGGGATGTCAGTGGCAGTTAGTCAGTTCCCCCCCCCCCAGTGTCAGAATGCCCGCAGTCCCGCTATAAGTCGCTGATCACCGCCATTACTAGTATAAAAAAAACACAAAACTTCCAGTATCTATACCGCCATTTGTAGATGCTTTAACTTTCATGTAAACCAGTTAATTTACATGTATTGGAATTTTTTTTTAGCAAAGACATGCAACAGAATACATTTTGGCCTAAATTTATGATGAAATTTGATTTTTTAAATTTTTTTACTGGACATGTTTAATAGCAAAAAAAATTCTCAAAATTGACATTTTTTATTTTATAGCGCAAAAAATGAAAACCGCACTGGCGATCAAATACCACCAAAAGAAAGCTCCATTTGTGAGAAAAAAAGGACATAAATGTAATTTGGGTGCAGCATTGCATGACCGCGCAATTGTCAGTTAAAGTAACGTAGTGCTGTATCGCAAAAAAATGGCCTGGTCAGGAAGGGGGGGGTAAATCCTCTGGAGGGCAAGTGGTTAAGATAGCATAGGGGAGAAACCATAGCCAGTTTTTTTTTTTTGCTGTGTCTCAAGAGTGAGATTTCCTTTCATTTAATTTCCTGTAAACTCAACAAGAAACAAGAGGATATTTTTGCAAGGTGACAGACTTCCCCTGTAATGGCCTGTGTTTCCATATGAGTAAGGGTTCATATACACTGGAGATGATAAACTCACGTTTAGGAGCTGTTCAGCGTTTTTTTTCAACAGCCACTGAACTCACTCTAATGTTTTCCTATGTGTCCATGTACACATCTTCGTTTACAGGCAGTTGAGTTTACAGTCGGTTTTTTGAACGCAACAAACTTGCATTCAGATGTCGATTTTATCAGCGTTTCAAACGCAAAATGCTTGTAAAGGCGGCAAAACGCATGTAAACTTGGCAAATCGGATTCATAAGCGTTTGCGTTTGCAATTTTTTTTTACTCTTCCAGTTCCCAATGCTGTCCAGAGCCTTTTTTTCATCATGAAAAATGCATGCAAAGTGTTTTCAAGGTACCCAAATGAACAAAACACTGAACACAGGATGTTCCTACCAAGCTTGTCACACATTGTAATGACCCATTCACACCTCAGACATCTCCCACCCTTGGAAACAAAAGGGTGACCATTCACACCTCAAATTCTTCATGAAGACCCCCTGCCAGGTGACCTTAATGACTCACTCCACCAGACACCTTTCCCACCCTTGGAAACAAAAGAAATGTTAATGAGCAACTCACACCTAAGCTAATCTCAACACATACTGCTGTCTCTGCTTCTACTCTCTGTATTTCTCTGAAACAGTCTGAAATAGTTAATAATTTACCACTTTTCTGTGCATTCTGGGCATTTGGGAGGTTTTCCTGTGCTTATCTTTAACGCTTCTAAACACAAAAGTGCAGCAACGCACAGAAACGCGTTATGCAAATGCAGCTAAACAGACGTTTTTTAACCTACGTTTTCCAGCAGTCAGTTTCCATCGTTCAGAAACTTCCCGTGTACATGGAGCCTAAGGATCAGCTGATTATCTGATTGTTAATATACTGCTTTCGAGAGGCAATTTTGACGTTTTGGACGACAAAAACTGAAGGTGCAAGTTAGAACATTTTATAGCACATGAACACAAAGTTCGATTTTCATGTAAAGTGTACAGTAATTGTATGAAATTTACCAAGCAGAAAAAAAATGTAACAGAAAATAGAACAACTCCACACTTCGTCTTCTGCAACTCTAGTACGTAGCTACGTTTGGCTTGTTTGCCTTTGACAGGCAAGAGTTTTCCTACAATTACATTTTGACTGCATCATTATATGCACTTTTGTGAAAAATTGTACGATTGGTCATCCAGTTTTTTTATAGTGTGTGCCCAGGTTTTAGGCTGGAAATTGGAAGATATGTTAATGACCATTCACACCTCAAATTCCTCATGAAGACCCCCTGCCAGGTGACCTTAATGATTCACTCCACCAGACACCTTTCCCAATCTTGGAAACAAAAGAAATGTTAATGAGCAACTCACACCTAAGCTAATCTCAACACATACTGCTGTCTCTGCTTCTACTCTCTGTATTTCTCTGAAACAGTCTGAAATAGTTAATAATTTACCACTTTTCTGTGCATTCTGGGCATTTGGGAGGTTTTCCTGTGCTTATCTTTAAAAAAAAAAATAAAAACGCTTCTAAACACAAAAGTGCAGAAACGTACAGAAACGCGTTATGCAAATGCGGCTAAACAGACGTTTTTTAACCTACGTTTTCCAGCAGTCAGTTTCCATCGTTCAGAAACTTCCCGTGTACATGGAGCCTAAGGATCAGCTGATTATCTGATTGTTAATATACTGCTTTCGAGAGGCAATTTTGACGTTTTGGACGACAAAAACTGAAGGTGCAAGTTAGAACATTTTATAGCACATGAACACAAAGTTCGATTGTCATGTAAAGTGTACAGTAATTGTACAAAATTTACAGAGCAGAAAAAAATTTAACAAAAAAATAGAACAACTCTGCACTTCCTCTTCTGCGACTCTAGTATGTAGCTAGTTTAGCTCGTTTGACTTTGTTGGGCAAGAATTGTCTTACAATAACATTCTGACTACACAATGATATGCACTTTTGTGGAAAATTGGATGATAGGTCATCAAATTTTTTTATAGTGTGTGCCAGGTTTTAGGCAGGAAATTGGAAGATTTTTTTTTTTTTTTTATTGCCTTTAGTTATAGTTTACTTTTGCTAATTAAATCTTTATACTAGAAAGAAGTGTAGCACCGTCCTAGTTAAGTGCTAGGATTTGTATAGTTGGGTTAAGCATAGCTGTGTTCTGCCCACCTTCAGGATGCTTTGAGAGCCTTCCAGAACATGGGTAGGGCCTAGGCAAATGAACAGCATGAA